AAAAAAAAAAAGTGAGGCTAAGTAAGAGAAGCCAGCCACAAAGGACCACACACAAATGTAATTTCACATATATAAAACATCCCCAGTAAGCAAATTTATAGCAAAAAGTAGATTCATGGTTGCTTAGGACTGGAGGGACTGGAAAATGGAAAGTGATTGATGAGGAGCTCAGGGGTGTTGGGGGACAGTGATATTCTACAAAGGAGAGTGATGGTGGTTGTACCACTGTGTGAAAAGACTCAAATTCTGCACTGTGCCCTTTAAATGGGTCAAGTGTATGGGACATTACATATATGGGGTTTATCTTACTAGAGCTGTAACAAAAAAATTACAAGTCTCTGAACTCCTCCACAGTGACCACCTTCTGTAAGCCCTGTCACCTCCTGTCTGAGGACCCTGGCTCCTTGCTGGGCCCACCCTCCACCCTCACCCCATCAGTCCCACCCCGAGGGCAGGGTTGCGGGGGTCTCCAAGACTAGAAGCAGCTCCCTTATGCTCTGACCCTTGCTCACCTCTCCAGCTCAGCGCTGGTCGGTGCCCCCTGCGCCCCCTGGGTCCCTCTAGCACCCCAGGCCCAGTTCAACCCCAGGCTCGGGAACCCCAGCTGTTCCCTCCCTCCTCCCCACAGATGGAGTCATCCTGGCTGGGCCCCTTCCATCCCTTCCCATGAGATCTTCCCTTAGAGGAACCTTTCTGCCGCCCCCTTTTCCACCTCCCGGGACTTACTCCACCCGGAAGGATCCCACTCACTCACTTGAGGTCCGCTGCCCACGGCACCAGGGCCGCCCACTGCCACACCCTGGCGGGGCTCTGTACCTGGGCTGTGTGACGAGGAACTAGCTTTTCCACTTTACTTCATTTAGACTGCGTCAAATGTTAATGACTACTCAGGGCTGCGCTGCCATGTTGGATGGCTCCGCCTGACACAGGGGGGCCAGGACTGGAGCCCCTGGCCTAGAATAGGACAGGCCCTGAAGATAGCGCCTCACCCAACTCTAGTAAAGGAGTGGAGGGGGGACGCTTAACCTCGAGGCGTTTCTGATGTTCCCCCCGCTTTCTTCACTATAGGCCCTGGGCCAGGAGCAGGGCCTCACAGAATCTCATAAAAAATCTCCAATAAATCCACCAAGCTCGCAGGCTTTGCATCCCACAGGTGAGAAGTCTCAGACAGGCCTGGCGCTGCCTGGAGTCACAGCCAGAGTCACCAGCAGGCCCTGTCCCAGACCTGTCCAACGTGCAGTCCAGGGCTATTTCCAGGGAGAAGTCAAATCGTAAGGGGAAGTGTTCCTCTTCCTAATAAAGAATTCCGAGGACTCGGGAGAAAAAGGACCGACATTCCAAAGGACAGGCGTGACAGAAGGAAGCCGGCAGAGGAAGGAAGTCTAAACAGCCTGCGCACGATAAGCACAGGAGGGCAGGAGCCCCAGCAGCTGATGGCACCCTGGGCACCGGGCTGAGGGGCGGGAGCTCTGCACTGTCCGGGGAGCGACACGCATAGCCCGCTGCAGGGCACGCTGGCCAGGCCCTGCCCACCACGACCTCACTCATGCTCAGGCAAGGCAACCACACCTTAAAAGCAGCAAAGATCACAACTATCACCTACCCCATTAGGCAGCCATCAAAAGACTGGTGGTGGTGGTGGGAGGTTCTTCTGGGCTAAATCCCAAAGCCCTCGGGGGCATGTTGTATAAAGAGGATGAGGGGAAGATCTGTGGGGTCAGTGGAGACCTTGACAGAGACCCCTGGGGAGTTTTTCAACTAACAGATACAGCCAAATTGGTCTGGGACAGAAGCCCCCTCCCCCGCCCCCACGGGGAGTGGGGGGCTCTTTTGGCAACCCCAGGTTGCTCCCCGTGTGGGACCTGAGCTCCACCCGTCTGTAGAGGGCATTCTCTTATGGAGAAGGGAGGCAAAAGTAAGAGTGTGGGTCCATACTTGCTTGTGTTTTCCAAAGGAAACACTGAAAGGGTTTGGACAGAAAGAAGACAAGTGTTTCCGCCTGGGGAGGAGCAGGCCGAAGGCAACCCGGGGCGCAGGACAAGTCGGGCTCTCGACTTTGGAATATTTTTGAACTGAAGCAAATAAGTGAAATAGTATCATTGAGGCTGGGGTAAAGTTTTGATAAATGTTTATTGCGTGAAAATGTGGGGGGAGAGACAGGAAGGGAAGGAGGGAGTGGGGCTAGGGAAGGCAATGGGCTGGGGCACTGCAGTGCCCGGCATGCCCGGTGCCCGGTACCCGAGCTGACTCACAGAACGGAGGCACCCTCGCCCAAAGGGGCGAAGATGCACACCGAGATGCAGTGGACGCCTCGTCTTCACGGCAAAAGCAAGCCACTCAGTAGTTCACTAACGGAGTCTGGGTTTAAAGACCGGGGCGCGGGCCCTCCCTTGTGGCCTTGGTGAGTTCTCAGCTATCACTGCTACAGCACAAGTTCGATCCCGGGCCAGGGGTGACCCACAGGGCACAGCAGACCTCTCCTGTCTCCCCGCTGCTCCCCTCAGCAGTAGATCTGCCTGTTCTGCTCCCCACTCTGTTTCTTGTGAATCCTCTCACTCCCCACACCTGTGACCTACACCCCAGTTCTTCTACTCAAAAAATAAACCAATATAAATAATAATTTAAAAGTGTCTGATGGTGGCCCTC